ATTTATATCGTTAAATAAAAGAAAATGAAAATCACAACCATGAGCCGTTTGCGAGTGTCTCACTTGTTGGGCTCGGTTTGATGAAAGTGGGCATTAAACTCTGCACGTACGTGCACATATCTCGGATGCTGTGCACGTATAATTTTTCTCCTTAGGGAGGCTGCGTGCGCTCGTCACTCAACGCTCTTTCCAGGAACAAATGCACGCGCCGAGAGAACGAGAGTCAACCCTTCCCCGGCCGCCCCCGCGCCACCCCTGCAGCCTCCGCTTCTTTTCTTTTCATCTCTCATCTCCGTGAAAAGATGCACGAAACCAGTCTGCGCGCAACTTAGCGCAACTATATAAACACAAGTGTGTGCGCCGCGTGCGTATATAGCTGGCATATATAAATTTGTAAAAAAGCCCTCGGTGGCGGAACCAGGCAGCCAGCCAAGGCTCTTCTCTCGTAAATAAATGTGCGCATTTAAATTCCTCGTCATACCCGGCAGCTCCAATTTGCACAACTCGAGAAGCAGCAGCGGGTTCAAGGGGGTGAGAGTGGCAGCTGCTGGATGGGTTTATTTGCCGGGCCCCTTGTGTGCAATTCTAGCTTGTGCGCCAACCAGTTACACACTACTGTGATAATTGCAATCGACAGGAATTAAATTAACCCAAATAAACCGGATTTAATGTTTGCTTTAATTTTTTCAAAATCTTGTAGCAGAATTTCCAAATAAAGATCATTCTTATTTTAAATAATTAAATAATAAAATTTATAATTAAAATCTCCACAGCAGACACCCAACGAACTCCAGACTTCTCACAGCTCTTGCTTAGAGCAGTGCGCCAGGCAAAAAATAATTCGGCCGACAGAAATATTGTCTCTTAATTGTTAATTAATTGCAGACAAGGGCATTAGTTTTCATTATCTGCAAAACCAGTGCGAAACAAATCTTGTCTTATGCGCACAGGGGAAACAAACATTATAATGTTTTAAAAATGTGCAATTAAAATTATATACTCTTCACAACTTAACTTTTAATTTTAATTATGCTATCATCACTTTACTAATTCTTTAATTACAACATAATATTACGCAAGAACTAATATAAAAATTATAAAAAAAAAATATTTAAATAAGCAACAGAAATTGCAGCAATTTTAAAATTTCAAAATAAATATAAACATGCTGAGTTTCCAAACCCCCAGCGTAACGAAAACCTAACTGAACCTAACCCAGATTTCTTCCTTGTTCTTTCAGTTCTTCAGCTTTTTTCAGTTCTCATCTGTATCGCGCTGATCTAAGAAAAAGAAAATGCCAGCAAATAAACGAAGTTTGTTTAAATTATAAAATTAATAATAATAAAATTCAATGAATGAAGAGCACGGCCAAAAAAGGCTTGTCTTAACCTGACCCTAAAGATATTTGTTAAAAAACCGGCTTTCAGCTAACGATTACTGGTCATCATCTATATAGTGTCTTTTTTGCTGTGTTTTGTATTGATTTGACTGCTTTTGGCGCAAATGTGTCAACTCAGGTTCTTCGATTTACTCCCCCTTTGAAGTGGCCCTTTTTTGCAAACAGCTCATCGAAAAAAGTGAATGTGAAAGGCACTTCCGCAGCCCTTATGTTTCCTACAAAGGAGGTGAGCAGCAAAAAAGCAAGAGCTGTGATGCCACCCTTGATCAACCCTATACGCTGAGGCGACAAGCGAGCTGGTTTTTATTGCTATTATGTTGAACACACCAATATGCTTGAGAAGCATTTTTTATATCAACTCGAAAAAAGTCAGTTTATTTAAATGTTTGCTTTTAAAAATGATTTAATAACAATCTTATCTTCCAAGATATCGTGTAAAAATTGATGAAAATTAATAATTATGCAAATTTTTAGTGTATTGATATTTTTATTTTTTCTGATTTTCGGTGAGTCAGGGAACTATGAATTTTTCAGAAAAAAAGTATTAAGAGCTTTGGAAAAGTGAATTTTTTAATAAATAGCAAGTAATTTGGCACGGTCAAATATTTTTCAGAATATTTATTGGTCATGGGTAAATCTAGAAAGAAAGATATTATTCCTTTTGTCATTTTTCTAATTTTTATTTCAATTGAATGAATTATAAAGTTATGGAATTTAAATTTGAAAAATTGTGCTTAGAAGCAAAAATATTTCAATTTAAAGTGAAAATCACGATTTTTTGCATTGTAGGCATTTTTATTGAGTGTAGCTTCTTCAAAGAAAGTACCACAGGCGGCTTAAATAAAAATCGCTCTAGTCTTTTCTTCTGGCGCGTCACTCACCGTGCACATCAGAGATCAGAGACAACATTGGGTGTGTTAAGTTGCAGAAAATATATCGCTGTTTGTTCCTGCCTTTGTCTTTTACCCGCGATTTGGCTCAAAAGCTGTTTGGCCTCCTATGCTATATACTTTTCTTTCTCTTTCTTCTTTTTTTTTTTTTGTTATTTGCCCTCGTAGGACACAGGACAGAGACTGTACACATGTACATGCGTGGGATTTGCGCTGCTCAAAGCTATGTGCACGCGGGACGCGAGAGCGGGTGACTTCAAATACATCATGTACGCATGCAAAACACGCCCCGAAAAAACCTCTAGGGTGGAAATAAGAGAGAGATTCAGGCCGCTTGTTCTCTCTGTACTTTGGATGGAGGCACTTGAGTTTTGTGTTGCGTGCCCCGCAGCCCGCAGTCTCTTCTTCATATCATCTCTTTGTAGTTTCGAGTTCGCCTCTGATCTTTATGACTTCGTCATCATCAGCAGGCTACACAGTATCATTCAATACTGTGCGAGCTGGGACAAAAGTAGTCCTGCACCACGATACGGTGCGCGACGCCTAGTCTCTTCTCTTTACACTTCCACTTTCATCTCGAGCTACTTCAAAGCGGCTTTCAAAGAGAAAAATTTGAATATATTGCACTCTTTCGGCGCGGGCGGCGGAGCCCGTCAAAGAGTCACGTCGCGCGCGCGAACCAAAAGCTAATCAATAGCCTGACACATTCTGAAATCGCGGCCAGTGAAACGTTAATTCCAACAAGCAAACGCAAAAGCAGGCAGGTGTAGTTAATTAGTGAAGTTTAAAAAAAATCCAAAGAAAAAATTAACTTATCAGAAAATTTGACGTAAATTACACTTTTTTGAAGGAGTTGGTTTTATGAATATAAGATTATACTTATTTTATTTAAAAAAAATTAATTTGATGTGGAGTTCAAGAATCGAGTGGCAATTAATGATTTAATTATTATTTTGAACACAAAATTCCAAATCATTGTTTTTTTTCAGCTATTTGAAAAAGTTTTATTTCAGGACAGTAGACACCGTTCTAAGCATTTTAATGTCCTACTTTGGAAAAATTTCTCTTATTAGGGAAAAATATAATTACTCATATCCATTAAAATTTATTCAAGACGGAATTTCAAACTAAACTGGGTCATTAGTAGGCGTTTTAATATTGTTTTCCTTTTTTCAGAATAAGCAAATTGGATAAAATTTGCTAATTTTTTCTACAAATTGCCATAATTCAGAAGTTTGAATTATTTTTCAGAATTTAAATGAGAATATGATTTACAATGATTTTTTAATTCTATAAATTATTATTTAATTTACTTTCAATTTCCATAACAGTTTAAAAAATTTTAGTATCCGCGTGTAACGTGCATAATCTTTTTCATCTTTGTGGCTGAGAGAAAACTACAAATTTTGCTTTCATTTTAGGGAAAGATTTTTTCATGTGGTTCTTGTTGTTGTTGTTGTTTTTTTTTTTTTTGCCAAACTTCCTGTTCAAAAATTTCATTCTCGGAAGGTCTTATTGTTAGTGCATGTGTGCAGTTGCAATTGACTTGTACAATACAAGTATGTTTTTTTTAAATGAGAGGCACAGCGGGTCTTTTATTTCTCTTCTCAACACGTGGTAAACTCGTGTCTTGTGTGTAAACACAATAACAATAAGATAACCCAGCGTCATGGTAAAGAAAATTTGGAATATTTGTGCAAAAGAATAATGAAATAACGGAAAGCATGCAGCTTTTTGCTGTAGGCGCGCGGTTGAAAGGAATTAAAAAAAGACGCTAGGTCACCATATGTGCTGAGAAGCAAAATAAAATCCTCTCTTTTAAGAAAGAAGCAATAAACAAGTCAATAGGAATGACACATATGCACTTACAATGAGATCTCCGAGAATACGATTTTTCGGACAGGAAGCTGGCGAAAAAAAAAACAAAAATAGAACTACACAAAAAAATCTTTCACTCAATCGACTGAACCGACAACCGACGTCAATTTTTTTTTTTAATTTTTAATGTTTTCTTCGCCACGAGTGTGATAAAAATATAATGAATGGTTTTACCTGTTGCTTAGCTTAAGGGCATAAGGGTCAGTTAAAAATTGTAAATTTTTAACATCACCAGCAGAAAGTACGATAAAATCTAAATCTACATATTGAGGAAATGGAAAATCCAATATTAATTTCAATCAAATATCATTCTAGCTTCATTGCCCGTTTTTATTTTATCTTTTCTCTAACAAAGGAGGTTAATTAGGAGAATAACTATTTTTGGAGTTCGTATAATTATACACAAATTCAATCTTTTTAGAATCGTTATTTGATCATTATTTAATGAATATCTTATCCACTTTTTGTACTTTAATTAAATTTCTTAGGGGAATTTTGCACATTTTTAAATATCAATATTCCTTGAATTAATTTTTTTTTTTTAAATTAATATTTATCACATCTCTTGATATCTATCTCCCCTCTCTGGAGAACTAATTGTCACGACTTTTTTTAATTCTATGTAAAAATTATTGTTATTTTTCAGTTTTCTGTGTTACACCTTAGGCAAAATAAGAAAAATCACAGAGACAAATTTTGATAACAATGTGATCTTCAGATCTTCGATCTGATCTTCTCTCAATGTTCCATTTAACTCCTTCCGATTCTGCAACCCGCTGTTTCTGCTCCGCTCCTCTCACAAACGCCACCTAGTCGGTTCTCGGCGAAACGACTCTCCACGTCGGAGAAACAAACGAGCGTCCGCGAACCTCACGCTGGTGGGTCGGTCTCCGTCTGTCTTCTGCAGCTGCAGCCCAGGTCAGTCAGGTGAGAGCGAGAAGCGATGTCAACGAACCTTCGGCAGACGCCGCTGACCTGCAGCGGCCACACGCGGCCCGTCGTCCAGCTCGCCTTCAGCGGCATCGTGGACAGCGGCTACTACGTCATATCAGCGTGCAAAGGTGTGTAAAGTACCAAAATTTCCAGACTTAAAGATGTTTTGACGGGCAAATTTATAACTGTGTCACGCAGATGGCAAGCCGATGCTCCGGCAGGGCGACACTGGCGACTGGATCGGCACCTTCGAAGGTCACAAGGGCGCCGTCTGGGGGGTGGCCCTCAACCCTGATGCAACCCGAGCTGCTTCCGGCGCTGCAGATTTCTCAGCCAAGGTGATGTAAAATTTAAAAAAAACTGAATTTAAAGAATTTGAAATCATTCAATTTTTTTTTTTTAATTGATTTTATTGAAGTTTGAATTTGTGTATGATTTTATATTAAATACTATTGTTGGACGCAGGTGTGGGACGCGCTGTCCGGAGACGAGATTCAATCGTTCCAGCACGGACACATAGTCAAGAGCGTCGACTTCAACGCCAACGACCCTCATCTCTTGGCCACCGGCAGCAATGAGAAGCTGATCAGAATTTACGATCTCAACAAACCTGAAGCAGGTAAAAGAAAAAATCATAACAGATGCATCTGCAGGCTGCATGTGGCTGGTCAAGGCCAGTTGCACTTTCTATACGTGTCTAGTTCTAGCGCTTGATGTCCTTTTCTAGTGCTCCTTTCACATTCCTTGCCGTCTACAGATGACGAGCTAATTCGAAGTATTGTTTTCTACTAATTGAATTAATGACTTAATAAAAATCAGATTGTTTGAAAAACTTAATCAATTTTTAAGAATAATTAAAAAAACTGCTTAATTAATAAAAAAATATATATATATTATTCCATGATCAAGATTGATTTGATTTTAATTAAAATTCTTTCTCCAGATTGTTTTCTGCCAAAGTAAAATAATTTTATTTAAACATTTACTTAGGCTAAAATTAAATTACTAGAGATTTTAAGGGAATTGTAATTTTTTTGCTTTTAAATTGATGAAATTTAAAGACACAAAGACATTACTGCAGTTTCAGAATGTTCACTAAATTCGAATTGTCATTAATTGGAATATTTGGAAGAAGAGAATTATAAAAATAGCACCATTAATTTACAAATTATCAAAATTTGTTGCAGATCCTGTTGTTTTCAGTGGTCACACCAACTCTCTGAAGCACGCCGTCTTCTTCCGAGATGGCACATGCCTTGTTTCTTGTGGCGACGACAAGACCCTGAGAGTCTGGGACCGAAACTCGGGTCAAGAGATCCAAAAGCTGGACTTCAATGCCATTCCTAGCAGTCTGGAGGTCTCTCCAGATGGAAAAATCATCACCACAACCCACGGAAATTACGTCAGCTTTTGGGAAGCAGACACGTAAGTTGAGATCAAAATCATGAATTGAACTGGAATTAATTGACAACAAATTTATGCAGGCTGGAGAAGGTGAAGGAAGTGAAAGTGCCAACACAAGTCAATTCTGCCTCATTGTCGCCTGACAAGTCCATGTTTGTATGTGGAGGAGAAGACTTGAAAGTTTATAAGTTTGACTACGATTCTGGCAACGAGATTGGTTTGTTAATTTTAATTAATCCTTTTAAATTGTGGTTCAAATATGTTTTGAATAAAATTTTCACTCTGGTTCGATTGGTATATGAGATCCTTTTTTAAATTTGCTACATTTTGGTTGCAGAGTCATTCAAGGGCCACTTTGGACCGGTTCACTGCATCCGGTTTGCTCCTGACGGGGAGCTGTACGCTTCGGGCTCAGAGGATGGCACCCTGCGTCTGTGGCAAACCACAGTTGGAAAGACTTATGGCCTCTGGAAGTGTGTGGACGGCGTTCAGGTTGCCTTGCCGGACCCGGTAGCTCCTCCACAAGCCCCCGCAGCACCTCAGGCCACTTAAACCCCCTCCATCATTTGCTCATCGCAAATATGAGTTGCGAAGAAACAGGGTAGTTTGCCAATCTCTGTCTGTGCTCGAGGTGCTGCCATAGGTCGAATTGATGTTTGCCAGCACCTTGGACTGCAACCGCTGAACGAAAAAATATCGGGATCTCGAATGTGCGCGGCATCTGCGGTGTGATCTTTGTAATGATAAATTCTTATGGTGCCTCGTTTTCTACTTCACAGATGGCCTCGTCAAGTCGCCCATATTCTCATCACTTAGAGAAATTGAATTCAAAGTGAAAGACCAGTAGAAATTTTTCAGTTTACTTACTCAAGACAGCTGTTTTTGCTTTATTTTTGGTTTCTCTCACTTTCGATTAAACAAGTCTTATTTGTATCAATATGACCAAAGTTCTTCTGTTAGCATTTGAATTTCGGAGAAAAGTGGCGGCAACGGAATTGTAAATTAAAAGCAGCAGCTTTTCAGTATATAAACCAGCGCATTTATTTCACTCGCTATTATATCTAAATTCATAGTTAGGTAGGACACACTCTGTTAACCAATCAATCGATTACTCTTTCTCTCTCTTTAGTTAATTATTTAAATGTTAACGATAGCAAACCTTGTTTTGTCGTGCAGATAATAAATAAAATTGTTGCCCGAATCTATAAGAATATCTATCTCGTTCATCTCCCGCTAAAAGAATGGAGAGCAGCTTGCGATTGCGGCTGTTTTCGCGGACAGTCTTTTCTCACAAAATGCTCTGCGACTAAATTGTACTCTGGTTTGACGTCATGAAATTAAAATTTCCCGGACAAAATTTCAGTTCCACGCAGTATAAGTGTGCCTATCACGCTCATACATTTATAAAATTATATGTCTAGGTATAAAAATATATACAACTACTCAAGCAGGTTGGAGGCCCTGAAGGCATGGCAAAGCTCAGAGAGATCCATCTGCCTTGAACCTTTCACTGAGCAAATGCAGCAGATGAAAATGTAAAAAAAAAATGTATATACACTAAAAGGCTCTAGGCGCGAAACCTAAGTCAAAGTTGTATACGAATAAATGATTAGCACCGAAACGTAAAACGATGGATTGATGGATGACGTTGGAATTTTGAGCAAAAATGACAAAAGCTCGAGGACGTTATCCGAGCAGGCCGAGGAGACTGAAGAGGGGTCCTCTGCTGGGTGGCGGCCTCACGATCCTCGGGGGAGGTCTCAGGTCCAGGAGGCTGCCGTCGTCAGGGCCGGACGGTCCAGATGGAGGGGTACCTCTGGACAGGAGAGGCGACACTGGCAAATTGAGAGGTCCGGGGGGACCAGAGGGCCCTGGAGGACCATTGAAGAGGGCTCTTCCACACTGGGCCATGCAGACGTCATCCCTGCGAACGGCAGCAGGACCGGCGCGTCGGATCAAAATGCCGCAGTCGGTTACCCGGATAGACCTACATCTCGGCTGAGGAAAATAAAAATAAATTTATTTTATAAAAGTTTTAATCTTTTTAATGATAAAATTTAATTGATTTGCTTACTCCACTGGGTGTGCATTGGCAGCTGGTGCAAGGAGTGGTGAGGACTCTGGCGCCCATTCGAACCAGTCTGCCCTGGATTTGGCAGGAAGCGTCGGGAAGAGGAGGCCCTGCAGGTCCATTGTTCAAGGCTCGACCCTGCGCTCCAACATCCCTCCAGGCATTCAGGTCAACGCCTGGCAAAGATTGGCAGCTAATACGAGGATTTCTGCAAAAGAGGTGATTTAAAAATTTGTAAAATAGTAGCTAAAAAAATCCTACGTTGAACCGTTTGGCTGATCAAAAGCGACAGGCTGAATGTCAATAGGTGCGTCCATGTTGTTACAAACAACCTTGGAAAGGCTAGATTTGCGCAGTTCCTGCAGTTGGGCTGGAGAAAATCTTTCAACCTGAGAGTTCGTCTCATACCTAAAAATTGAAATTAATTTTTTTATTTATAATTTTATGGAAAATAAAAATTTACCAAAATCTGTCACAGTCTCTGAGTTGTCTGAACTGGCGGGCCATGATGCAGGCAAAGGTCGGGCCGACAAGACCCCCAGGAAGGGCAGTTTCACTCAATCCTCCAGGGAACAACTCGACGTCGTCCACGCTTTCGTATACATTACGCAGTCTTTCAATCGCTTCAGTCGGAATTTCGCGGGAAAGATCCTCCCAAACGACAGCCTTCGGCAGACCGCACACAGTACGGTACTCATTGTACGACTGCAGCGCGTGGTCTCTTCCTCTTTGGATGTTGAGGGCCGCTAAGTCCATTCCCGAGTGAGGGCTTCGGCGCACCTCAAACAGGTGATTGGTGACCTCGCCTGTGATGAAGCGGTCCATGTCTTCCATGGGCGCAGCCAAGAGACCTCTGGTCAGCTCGTCAAACATCCGGGGGATGAGCAGCATGCTGGGGTCGAAAAAGGCATCTCGGAGAAGGAGTGGAGGGGTCAGGGGTTCCCATCGGGGACCGGCGCGCGGCAGATGGGGGCGAAGAAGGCTGTGGCCAAAGCGGAAGGCCGCCGTGGCAAACTCGTTCAGAACGCTGGGATTGCAGGTGGCATCATATCCTAAAGAACGTAAAAAAACATTTTAGTAATTTTATTTAAAATGGCACATTTTTAATTACCATTGTAGTATCCATCTGTCTGAAGTCCAAGTTTGTATTTATTAATAGCTTCAGGCCCCAGAACACGGGGCAAGAATTCGGAGAAAGTGATGTGTTGGGTCTCGGCGGCCACAATGCGCCTGGCGTGGTGGAAAACAATTTCTTCGCTCCAACGGGGGTTGATCAGGTGCAATGCGTCAGCAATGCGATTGTGCTCTCTCATGAACATGGTGTGCATCACAGTTAGACCTGGTTGTTCACTCGCTCTTCCATCACCTTAAAAATATTTTATTTTAAAAAAAAAAATTAATTTTTTTTTGTAATTTACCAGCAGCGAAGCAAAGGCCACTCTGGGCCCTGCACTCGGGATTGGTTCCGACCTGAGGAAGGAGCTCCCTGATAGGAGAGTTCGGCGCCAAAGGTGGCAGGATAGTGGTGTTCATTCGGCCGCCTGAGCCTCGGAGTGAAGTGATGCGGCATATGTGCTCTCCGTAAACGTGAGACGCGTCAAGAAAAGCAGAGTTCTGATTCACTTGCTCCCTGGGTCCTGTAATTTTTAAATTAAAATTTTTATTCATTTTGAAATAAAATTTTTATTTATTTTAAAATAAAAATTTTATTCATTTGAAAATAAAAAATTATACCAATGCTAAGCTGTCCGGGAAGAGATCTCATGAAGGAGAAACACTTAGGGCGGCCGTTGGTGTTGTTCAGGGGTGGGTGGTACGGGTCACCAGGAGGTACGGGGATGGGCATACACTCAGGGTGCACCTGTCGGGCTGAATCACAATCTCTGCAGTCGGGAATGGACACGAAAAAGCCGCGGTGGACGGGCGTGAATGAAATATCGTGGTCTAGGAATTGCGCGTACTGCATCGTCATGAGGGAGTAGCGCGCGTGCAGGTGGCTCACGTCTGTGTGCACTGATGTGGAAACCTACAATATTTCATTATTAAAAATAATAAAAAATCCAATCAGGAGGATGATGTAAAGTGTAGTAAAAAAATTAATTAATGAAAGTTTTTAGACCGCGGGATTGACAAATGCGAAAGTTAAAAAGGTACAAAAAGGTGGGTCTCAGGCAAAAACTAGTATGTCTATCTATTCATAGGGTAAAAATATTTATATTAAAAGGTAGAGTTTAGTAAGATTTTTTTTTTTAATTTTTAATTTATAGAATTTTGATCTTACAGTTCTGGGAGAAGGAAGCGGTGCGCCGCTCACTCCTGTTGTCTTGGGGTGCGAAACCCCATTTTCGTACACAGCAGGCAAGATACGGGAGAACGGGGTCAACGACCTGCCCCAGTTGGGTCTGCGCAAATTGTTGCAAACGCCGCTGAACGATCTGAAGGGCGAGGTCGGGTCGCACCCTGTGGGTCCAGGTTCTGTCAGACCGCACCTCTGCAAGCTGGCCGGTGGAGCGATGACGTCGGAAAAGTCGGGCGCCGATCCTGTTATCAGGCCGGGACCTGCATTGGGGGTGAAACCGCCGGCCAGGGTGTTGTCGTCGAAGATGCTATTTGGCCCAAAGTCGACAAGGTCGCCAGCTAGCTGCCGGCGAATTCTGTTACTGCGGATGCTGCAAAAATCAATTAGCACACAAATGTGAGAATTGGCGAATTATTTTTCTTTTCTATTAATTTTGAATGATTTGCCCTTGAAAATTTTTGCGGATAAATATCAAAGGCTTTGTTTACTTGAAAAGCTCCTCAGAGGCCATCTCGTACAGGTGGGACACATTGGCTCTCTCCAAGGCGTCCAAGGTTGGTTTGTTGAAGGCGGCCGCCGTGCCTTGCGGTGAACGAGGATCCACACCTCCGTCTGTAGAAATATGATGTGTCAAAATATTAATTGCCATGCTTTATGTTTTTCTCCCTGTCCAGTATCACAAATCACAAATTTATTATGAAATCAATTAAGACCGAAACGAACAAATTTGCATGCGTGAAAGCGAGCGTGGTATAAGAGAAAGAGAAAACTCAAACTTAATCTTCAGGTTCCTCTCTCGTGTAATCGGACAAGATCTCAAAATCATTTGGTGCCGACTGCCACTTTAATTGCCCGCCAATTAAGAGACCGCGTGATTTGTTATTTAAAAATTTCTAAAACTTTCAAAGTGATTTGTAAATAATTGAGCTGAAAATTAAATATTTGCCCATATTTTTACAATTATTTTTGGCAAAAAAAAAATCTTACGTTTGCTCCAAAAGACAAATTCCTCTTCTCTCCTCGCCTTGATTTTTTCCTTTGCGCGTTCCACTGCCCGCATCACTTGATCTTTGGAAAAGAACATGCGTCCCGGCGGCTCCCATGGCGGTAGTCTATCTTCATCAGGCGCGACCAAGTCTGGGATTAGGCTAAACTGTGCTTGTGATAAAAGGCATGCCCAAACCAATCTGAAACAAAAAGGAAAAATTCATTAAAAAAATTGTATTTATGATTTTTAAAATCTTAATTAGAGAGAATTTTCCATCTTCAATCCTCAATATTAAATTTTAAATGTCCTAATTTTTACACTATTGCATAATGAAGTAATTATTGCACCCGTCAGAATTTTAACTGTAAAGTAGAGTGAATCTTAAAAAAGGACACATATATCATGCTTTTTTCCTCATCTCTCTGTTATCCTTTTATGCACTTTTTGCTCGTCTCCGTTTTTGACGATTCCAATTTCTCTTTTGCCTCGCCTGCCTGACCCGCATTTAAGCGAGATGACCCATTATCGCGATATGAGTATATTCGCGTGTGTATATGAACATGATGTCATCGACGCTTTTCACGCCCAGACGCACGCCGCTTCGAGCACGTAAATTATTATTTTGCTCCGTGACCGAATCGTGCGCCGGCTGCGAATTTGGTTCGTTGTTTTTTTTTTTACGTCGCGCGGATTACCATTAGACAGTACTTCTTGTGACAGGTGCAAAATTGCACTTTAATAACAACAATTCTCTGTCGGTGAAACTCGTAATAAATTACGTGTATGAAAATAATAATCTCCAAGTTACATGATGCGGCATTAAAATGTACTTTGGGGATAAAAAAATCTCGCCACAGACACGAAGTGTATGACACGAAGAGATGAATTGCGCACCGGAGTGGATAAATATATAAGTCTTCCTATTGTTTTTCCCTGTACTTTTTTACTCCTCCGTGACTTTGCTTATTCGAGTGTCAATAGAAACGACCAATTATGCGGCAAAACACACGGATCCTTTTCTTATATTAGCAGGAGAGAGTTTCCAGGGCGACACATACACACAAGGAAGCGATTCGAGTGTGTTATTTGCTTGCCCTGAAAATAACACATAATAACGTAATTCAAATTATATCTGATCGATGCGAAGGCTGAAGAAAGGTGCATTCATCAGATACGAGCTGTCCATCAAACGAGATGCAACGCGAGTGCATTTCCTAATTCTAAACAAAAAAGAACACTTTTAGCCTTGAGGAGCTTTTTCATTTGGACAAATTAGAAAAAACACTCTCTCCTTGCCCAGCAGTTTTATGGATCGCGCCGACAGTTAATTAACTCTTGATGATTATTTTTGAATTTTATATACGCTCTCCTCTTTCACCCATCAATCCAGTTTGTATATATTCGCTTTTAATGGTGATGGCGCCCAACACCTTCCGAAACACCTTTCGCGAGACCGTGACTTTTGGCAGCATATATTATAAATTTATGCTAATTTAGCACTTGCGAAATTCCGCCCCGCGAGCAAAAACCTCTAAGTGTCATTAATTAATAATTAAAAAATTTCTAAAAATTATTCAAAGGTACCTCCTTTTGAAGACAAGACGCGTTTTTCATTTATGGAGGAATTTTTTTCAATACCAAAAATGATGACCCTCAACAACCGGTCCTGTAACAAAAAACGTCAACTCTCGCGGTCACAAATACATAAAGGTCAAAGTGGGTCAGCGACCTTACTTAACTTCTCTATTTGATTGTGTTTGACGTGCATGACTGGAAAAAAACGTACTTCTTAAAAGAGGAAATGCACTTAATTAAAAAAACGTGTTTCACCACCATTTTCCTCCAGTCTTATCTTTTCTATTTGTGCCTGCTTTTGAGAGTAAAAGCTAAAAGCGAGTGCACAACAAGATCCGCGTGAGGAGAAATTACACGCCCGGATTGAACGAGAGAGAGACGGATACTAGTACGCTGAGATCATACTTGCGAGACAAACGATCGTATACATATAGACAGAGGACTGCTTTTATAAAATGCAAATAACATTTCTTACTTTGCCTTCCTTTCTTTCTTCTCTCGGCGTCGAAAGTAAAGAGAGCTCGGATAAAATCAACTATACGTACACTTCAGGCTTTCGCTGCGACAGGACAAGAAAAATTGCTCCGAAGAAAAGGAAAGCCGAGACAAAATTAATGAAATTGATTCATGCGAGCTTTAAAATAATATAATATGGGTCGGCGGGTTCGTCAGCTTTGTAGGTCGAGTTGCACCCACGCAGCTCAGGTTGCTCTCAGGGCAGACGAAATAATAACGCCGGCTTAAGGTGAAAATCAGCAGGTTTGAGCTCACGAACAGTTTTTCATTAACGTCAAGAAGGTTTAATTTTTTAATCAAACGAAATGAAAAAGAAAGCTCGGGCGGATAATAGTATAAATCGCGGAGTTGATTACAAAGTTTGGATTTGGCGCCCACGAGAGGCGAGAATTTGCTAATTTACAAAAGGCAACAAAGCCTGAAAGTTGTGTGTGTATTGTCGTTTCTGAATAATGCACGAGAGAGCAGGAAGGGCCAGCGGGTGTGACGCGCGTATTTTAGCATTTTTTTCTGCGACCCACCTACTAACCAAGAAATCTTTCTCTCGAGTGCGAAAGCTGTGCGGTGACAGATCTATGTAATTGGACTGTTACGATGGAAGAAAGGAATGTTTTGAGCATTTTGCATAATGCGTCAGCGGGGGCTTGCAAGATTTATGTCTAGCGAATTGGAGAGAAGAAGAAGAAGTCGGTCGGTTGGATGATTGAGGTGATGCTTTTGGAAAAGGGGAACGATAGAGTCTCTCGACACCGCGTGTGTGACCTGCGACCTCGAAAAAGGTGTACAAAAAGCACCGACAATGACCCGACTTGTTTTGCTCCTTCGAAAAACACCTTTCTCTTTTAATTGTGAATAAAAAAAATAAAAAAACACGCGTCTATGATTCGAGATAAAAGATCAATAGGTTTTATTTTTGGAAATAGATACATGGCAATGAAGCCACATATAATAGAAAAAAACAAAGGCTTTCCGATGTAAAACATTTTATGAAAAATCTCAAACAAAGTTTATAGAAACAATTTGAATTTCAGACATTTCGTATTGTTTAAATTTCAACTGTAAGCTGTAAGTAATGGATTGATTATCAAAATAACTAAAATTATTGAATAACTAAAATTAATATCCTTAAATTAATTACAGTGCTGCTTAAAAACAAAATTAATCTTGCTGAATCTTAACTAACTAATTTTTTAAAGGTTTTGTGGAGTATCATCATCAAAATAACTTGATTTTATAAACAATTAAAACTCGTTGGGAATTAATTGAAATTAAATTCTACTTTTTTTCTTTTCAAAAGCACTTATCTAAATTTCATTTAAAGCAATTTGATTGGGATATAAACCCGTTTTAAATAATTTACGCGAAATTTCTTGAATATCTCTTTACAACTCTTACAAGTAAATAAATTTGATCCCAAGCGAGTAGTGAGAAGTACATCAATATAGTATTGCAACTGGTTTTTCCATGTATAAATTAAGATTGAAATTTAGATCACACTTTCGATTTAAAAAGCAATGTTCAAGGCTCAGGCAATGACAAGCAACATGCAGATAAATAACCAATTAAGAGTTTTTTGGGTTGCGATAAAATATAAATTCATTTGCATTTTCTGTTAAGATTTTATTCGTCTTGTCTAGAAATATGATGTATTGCATTGCAATAAAAGGTTCAAATTGATCGATAAATTCAAAATCACATTATTATTGATGCCATTTCAGCATAATTGATTATATTCTATAAAATTAAATTACTATTAAAAAATTGGTGCATCTAATTACGGATTGAAATTAACAAGTTGCGTGAAACTATATCAAACTATAAACTAATGATCTGAGCTCAAAGGTAATTTCTAATTTCACTTTCAACACCCCTTCTAGAAATATTTAAACACGATTCTTTGTGCATTTGAGCTGCACAGTCAGAACTGGATTTCTCCAAAGAGTGCGACCGCAGCTGTGGTCCAATTGTATAAAAGATCTTTTGGTCGCGCGGTGAAAAAGAAAAAAAAGCACGTGTGTGCATACGTTGAGGCGGTCGGTCAACGCCTTCGCTGCAAGATGAGAGATTCGGCCTTTGAAAAAAAATGTATATATCGAATGCACCGGCACCAAGAAGTATAAATTACAAACAAAAACGAATGGCACTGCTGATAATCAGACGTGCGGTGAGCGCGTGGCGCCTGTGGCGGAGCGCAGCAGCCGGGCGCACAATGGACCTCAACGCGGAGAAAGTGAAGAGAGCTAGGTGGATAATTATACACATACACACACGTTGAGTATACGGTGCGGCCATGGGAGAAAGCAGCATCACATCTCTCGATCGGTAGTCGAGGCCGAGCATCGTAATCAAAAAAGTGGAAGGTCAACGCTCAAAATTCGATCGACTGCTTTTATTATTTTGACTCTTTCGGGCCTAACGTACTTTGGATTTATTACAGGCCAAAGAATTTCCCCAGCTTTATGGCGCAGATGTTTTTCAAAATGAGTCTCCCAGCAGGTGCAATTAAAAGGAAATTTGGTTAATTTAGTAAAATTTATTGGACCTTTATGCTAGTAAATTACTTTTGATCACTCTGTCTAAAAAATCTTACTCTCTTTTGATATTTTCATTTTCTAAAAAATTTCATTTGTTTTATAAATAAATTAAATTTAATGTGTTTTCCTATTCATAATATTTTGAGTGAATCCTATACGCTATTTTCTTCCTTTGTGTTACTTTAAACTCTTAAAAAATATTGAAAAATTATTTATGTACTTCGGATATGAAAACGGAAGCAATTCACGTCATAATGCACTAATAATTGCAAGACCTAATCGTAGATCCAAATTGCGTAAGCTTCCGTCTTTCCAGTTTGCGAGTGTTCCTTTTAAACTTTCAATTTTGAACCCAGGCACCATAAAAAGAAAACCGCGGCCGTAAATCTTATCTGCCGAGAGCAGTGAATTGTTTAATGTATGTATTTTCGTGCATGTACCAGAAGAACAGAATTTACGGCTTATTGGAATATATATCACGGAAGATATGAGCAGATGATATCATCGTCGAAAGTTTTTCGCTCGCGCAGCCAAACAACAGAGCCGATCATCGCCTTTTTAGAGCAGGCGCCTC